CTCATTGATTAATAATTTAGATCTTATTGTGTTGCAGCTTAAACTAATTAGATCATAACTTTTTTAGAAACATACTGAATCGACAACATAAATTTTGCAATGAAGTGATACACAATTTCATTCCCAATTGTCACGTATGTAGATAAAAAGCAAGATTAATTTTAAGACAATGGTCCCAATTGAAAAAAAAGGACAAAGCACATAAAATGGTCCAAATGTTCAAAAATGGGTTGAGCTATACGCTCATCATAAGAGACTAACTTTATCAAAAGTTGGCAAAAAAGGAAAAACATTTTACGAGAAGGATAGATTCAGATCTGAGCTCTCATTCACTCCCACCATACAAAAGAGGAGAAAGAAAAGGGTCCTGAAATTCAACCCCATCGGCTCCTCAGAGTCTGCACTACAGTGACTAGTTTGAGAGAGAANGTATTTAATAACTCAGAAGTCTCAGATTCAGTCTTTTTTCACATCCCCTAAAGGTTAGTCACTCTTGTCTCTATGAGACTTAACTTATCTCAACTCAAGTCACGGTGACTAATCGCTGAGTTCAAAAGATTAGTCGGCGTAAGTCTAAACACTTTGTAGCCAAAAAAAAAAAAGGCACCAGGAAATTCAAATTAATGGTGAATGGCAGCAAATAATTAACCATCTAAATTAATTTTTGGTTGCAACTGGCAAGAACCCTATCAGTCATCTGGGTCCCTTATTGGTGATACTAGAGTGGAGGTTGGCCTGTCAGATGTGCCTCATCTCATGGGTGGAGCCAAATGTGACAAGAATTTTGCAACTTCGGGTGGTTGAAACTTTTGAGTTAGATATTCTAATCTTGAGCGATTCTCCACCTAACAGTTTAAACTTTTGAGTTACAAAACCAAAACATATTGCTCTATCTCATGGAGAATGGTTGTGGTCTATATGATAAGCATCAGCAGCAATACACCCAAGACGAAGTACCTTGCTAACCAAAAATCAAAAAGAGAGAAATTTATTTGTTATAAGTAGACTGGCTCAAAAATATGACATTTAATATGTATTTCATCCTAGAAAAAATTATGTGCCCAAATCAATGAATCGAAATATGTGCACCAAATGATGTGATACTTAATGTGAGTTTGTGGAATCTATGAATCAAACGATCCACATTGATTTAATGTTAAAAAAATTTGATAAAAATTTTAGCGTGTGTAGAATAACTCTTTCATCCTAAAATTTTCATTAAAAAAACAGTATGTTCTATGCCCGCTATNTATTGATTTAATGTTAAAAAAATTTGATAAAAATTTTAGCGTGTGTAGAATAACTCTTTCATCCTAAAATTTTCATTAAAAGACAGTATGTTCTATGCCCTCAATGAGAACAATCCAAAAACCATTGATCCCAACTTTGTAAGAATGATCTCAAGCTCTATACAATCAATCTCGAGTTGATAGGCCTCATTGATTAATAATTTAGATCTTATTGTGTTGCAGCTTAAACTAATTAGATCATAACTTTTTTAGAAACATACTGAATCGACAACATAAATTTTGCAATGAAGTGATACACAATTTCATTCCCAATTGTCACGTATGTAGATAAAAAGCAAGATTAATTTTAAGACAATGGTCCCAATTGAAAAAAAAGGACAAAGCACATAAAATGGTCCAAATGTTCAAAAATGGGTTGAGCTATACGCTCATCATAAGAGACTAACTTTATCAAAAGTTGGCAAAAAAGGAAAAACATTTTACGAGAAGGATAGATTCAGATCTGAGCTCTCATTCACTCCCACCATACAAAAGAGGAGAAAGAAAAGGGTCCTGAAATTCAACCCCATCGGCTCCTCAGAGTCTGCACTACAGTGACTAGTTTGAGAGAGAAATTTCAACTTACTGTTTGGGGGGAAAGAGGAGAAAAGTGAACATCTCTCTTGCTGGGTCCTAAAATGGTGTAATGATACAACTCCGGCTAATAGGGGTTTCTTTAATAGTGTCATATTCGGATCTATCATTTTGAGTTTATATCGTGTTTGTATCAAGCTAGTATTAATAAAAAAAAATTTAACTAAAACAATTCAGATTTCAAGAAATGAAAATAAAAATAGAAAATAGTATTTTCTTCTTGATTTCCAGAGAAAGTAGATCATTTGTGTCTAAAACTCTTTTGACATTGTATTATTTTGAATTCATATCTTCTCCGGTTCGCATCATACATGTGTTAGAAGCTCTTAGGGTAGAAAATTTGAAGCCTTTACTTGGGAAGATGAACATAAATGCCCCCTGTCAATTGTCATTGTAGTTATCAAGGCATTGGGATTCAAAGCATTTGCATTTCCAATCAAAGGGTGAATGGAACGCTTTATAATTAATACCTGCTATTAATGTGGTGTACAAAATGTTCATTATGCATGCTATTTCTTTCCTGAATGAATCTTAGATCACTCCATAGCCTCCAACACAAGTGAGACAATTGTATATGGAAAATAGGGAAGAATGTCAACTTTGATCCGTTGATACGAATTCGACACGAATAATCACAAAATTGACATGATTATTAAATATGTAAAATAAATAATTTAAGTTAATGTTTAATACTCAAAACACACTAAATCGATTATTTTTTTTTATGGGTCTTGACATGAAGACGACACGAATAACAATGATACGATACGAATAACACGACATGCGGTTTACACGAACAAAACACGTTTGACACCTTTTAGAAACTATCTCTTTATATTTTCAAAAAAGCATACTACTTAAGACTTAATCACTTGATTTAATTTATTGATCTAATCAACTATTACCAATAAACAATAGCAGCAAAGCTCCTCCAACACTGCGATGCGTTGCTAATCCAGCTAAACTATCAATTAGATAAAAAAAAATAGATAAAATGAGTAGGTTAAAATAGCATTCCTCGATTTAAACGTTGTTGTGCCAAAAGTTGGTGACGGAGGGGAAGAGAAATTTAACAGGACAGTCATAAAGAATTCTGAAGTAGGGGACTCGTGTGATTTGGATCTAAGGCTCATCGACCCTTCAAATTCCCTGAGGCTTAGAAAAACAAATAGATTAACCTCCAATGGACTTAACTCCGTTACATATTAAACGTTACTCCATTAAGAGATAAGTCCCCTTGAAAATTTCACGCACACTAGACCCACAAATACATGTAACGGTTAAACCAGAACTCTCACCACAGCCGAGAGTGGAATCTAATAACGTTCGTTCAACTGTTTAATAGAAAGGTCACTTAAACAACTGTTTAGGGTCTCAAAAAAAAAGAGCTTCCAAATAATGAGTATAGCTGTAATTTAAATTGGTCCAAAACTTTTGGTTTAAAAAGTCCAATTTAGTGAAAATTCTTACAAGGCCTAGACTAAGACAAAAGCCCAATTCACATCTCTCACTCATTTTTTCCAACGGTCAAAAGACTTGACAGTTAATTTTTCACAATTAAAGCATAAAAGTCTACTCTCTCCCTCTCTCTCCCCCAAATAAAAAAAGTTCATACAACATAATTATATATCTCTCTCTTACAACCTGGATTAAATAAAAAAAGGTACATATTTATTTGATTAGTAATTTAATTTTTTAATATTTTTATTGATAGGATTAATTTAATGCAATTATTCTTTTTTATTGTGAAAGTTTGAAATAGTAAATGATTTATGAGGCAAACAAATCATCAATTCAAAGCTTATATAATTTTTATTTATTAGGTGATATTGTGTTTAATTCTTATTGACTTTTATAAGATATTAGATTGTTCTCTTAATATAATTATTTTTTATTTTAAAACATATTTTATTCACAAAAATTTTTAGTTTGAAATATGTCAAGTTTTTACAAAATTAAAACTCATAAAATTCTACTTACGATCAACTATAACACAAAAAAAATTGAATGAATTAGTCATATTATACATCGAAAAAATATACTAGCAAAACTCAAATATAAAATTTTGATTACTAAGTTTGCATCACAAAAAATGAAAAAAAAAATTTAATAAAATTTTAATTATACAATATAGATATATATATATATATATATATATATATATTTTTATTTTTTTTTGATAAGCCCCATTTAACATTAGGGTCTGCCCGACGTTCAACGAGCGGAGATTCTTCTCGTAACCAAATGCGCTAGGCTCCTGGGATATGTGAGGCTTAGGCTGAAAGAAAAAAAAGGTGCATCAAATTTGTAATGGTATTTGATAATTGATATCAAATAAATTTGTAGGGACCGAGTCATCCCTAGCCATGCTTATTTTGCGAGTTTTAAGTGTTTAATAGTTTTTCTTTATTTGCACGTGTATTTGACACTCTTAATACTCTTAATGAGTATAGGCTTTGTTGGAACCTCTCTTTCGAGGGTTGGGCTTAAGCTTTTCTTTATGAGTTCCCTTTTCTTTATTCTACCTCAGTTATGTTGACCACCCTTTGTCAAATTCAGTGCCGAGCTGGGTGAATTAAGTAAAAATCTATCATACTGAATAGATTATTGTACCGAAAGTTATAGTTTTTTTTTATTCCATTGAAAACTTTTTGAATTAGGTTAGTATTAAAAACTGTGGTCAAGTTATGACAAAAAGAGAAGTTAACATCAATAATAAAATAATACGGTTGGTCTCTTCTATCGGGGACAATGCATCCCTGAATCAAGCACCAATTACTAAGCATGATTAGCTCCCGTTGAATATATTGTTCACATGTAACAACTGTAAAGGCTCTTGCTATATATAGTGAATATCGTACACAGCTCTTGCTCATTGAGTGAGATTACCAAAAATCTTTTGCCATTGTCTTTCTCTTTATGGTATTACAACCAATCAAGAAAAACGTCCAAAATTTTTTAAGAGTAATGTTATATTGATCAAATTTTAGGACTAAATTTAGAGTTCAAATGACATGCAGTTGACTTGGACTTTTTTTATTAGTGTCATGTCATTTGGATTCCAATAAAAAACTTAAAATAATCAGCTGTCATATCATTTAGGCATCAAATTTGATCTCAAAATTTGGTCAACGGTACTGATTTTCTAATAGCCTCAACCACACATGTTGTCTCCTCAATCTCGTCCTCCTCCTCTGCGGCGTCCCAAACTTCTACCTTCACAGCACCTCTCAACCTGCAGAGCCAAGTGATAATCAAACTAACGAAGGATAATTACCTTCTCTGCTGTGCCCAAATTCTGTCATTTCTCTGTGGACAGTAACCTTTTGGTTATGTGGGTGGAATTAGTACTTGTCCTCCTTGTATAATTCACGCCTCTACCCAAACAGATGGGGATCAATACCCAACGTTCAATCCTGCATATTTGCAATGGTACAATAAGGATCAAGTCATCCATGAGGCTCTAATGCCATCCCTTCTCTGAGTCCATTATCACTCACATGGTCGTTCTTGAAATCTCCAGAGAAGTGTGGTGTGCCCTCAAGCGCATGTTTTTTAATCATGCCCGAGCCTGTGGACTGTGCATATGACTTGAGTTATCAACTCTCAAAAAAAGCAATCTATCAATATTAGATTATTTTCAGAAGGTCAAGACCTCTGAGGATACTTTTACAGCCGTAGGTGAACCTCTTTGAGATTCTGAATTTCTCACGTACCTACTGGTTAGACTAGACAACTCTTACAACTCCATAGTCACATCTCTCGCCACCCGAGTTGATCAATTTTCCCTACAAGATGCCTTCGCTCATCTCCTAAGCTTTGAACTCCACCTTGAGCTGCAAACCTCTGACATTTTTCTCTCTATTGAATCCGCCAATATGGCTACTCAGAATAATCAACCTCGCAAATGTGTCAGCAAGTCCCACAACCAGCATTCTTTCAACAACAAGAGGGTTGTAGAAATCGTGGCCATAGGAGAAGCTCCCAATTTCAACATCCGGGTCCCCGTCCAGTGTGCCAATTCTGTGGAAAAAATGGCCACAGTGCAGTCCAGTGATACCATTGCCTTGATCTTTCTTATCAAGGTTCCCAACCAAACATGCGAGCCTTTGTTGTACACCCAGAGTCTCAGAATGATCTTAACTGGTATATGAACACTGAATCCACCAACCACTTCACCAACAATTTCCAAAATCTAAATCTTGGTGTTGAACCATTCAATGGCACGGACACTATTAAAGTCAGGGACGAAACAGGTTTGCCTATTAGTCATATTGGTTCCACCCGCCTCTCTCTTCCCCATTCAAACTTGAACTTAAATTCAGTTCCATACGTTCCTCACATCAAAAAAATATAGTGTATGTCAGTTAATTTATGGCTGACAATAATGTTTTCATTGAATGTCATGCGGGGTATTTTTCTGTGAAGGACGAGTGCACACAGAAGCTCCTATACAAAGGCAAAACTGAAGGTGGTCTCTACCCCTTTAGTCTTACACATTCACTCTCCTCCCGTCCACCCCTTCCAGCCCTCTCCTTTAAGCATGTTCCCCCAGATGTCTAGCACTCTCGCCCTGGCCATGCGTCATATAAGATTGTCAAACATCTAGCCTCTACTGCTTTATTTCCAGTATCATCAAATAAAACACCTATTGTATGCAATGCTTGTCAGGAGGGTAAAATCCATATGCTTCCTTTTGTGTCTTCGGATTATATTTCGAAAGGCCCGTTAGATTTATTATTCTTTGATGTATAGGGTCCTTCTCCTATAATGTCTGAGAATGGAAATAAATACTAAGTTTCTTTTGTTGATCATTTCAGCAAGTTTACATGGATTTATCCTATTCCTACTAAATATTCGACTTTCTCTATTTTTTGTTCATTCCAAAGACACATTGAAAGACTCCTAAATCAAAAAATCAAATGTGTCCTGTTGGTTGTAAGGTGTTCCAAATATAGTAGAATCACTTATTGAACTTTCTGTTTTGAACCATGTAAAACAGTAACAACTAAGTATGAAACACAAAAGAATTACAGCAAAAAATTACACGTAAATTGTTTGTTTAAACAATATAAATACTAACCCGATTGCAGAACAGGAACTGTTATTGAACTTTAGGTAGATCAAGGCTAGTGTTTGACACTATGTCCTTAAGACAGATTTCGCCCCCACACACGGTGCTTATGGAATACCGAGCGTCTGCCTCCTAAGATATAATGATCTTTACACGAACATAAGTAGCACTTCAATCTGCTCGTCCAGCGAACCAATATTGTGTTGTGTACTCTCTGTAAATGCTTTGTCTTAATGCCGAAATGCAAACTGTTTAATGCCTTAATGGACTGATGAATTGAATCAATAAAATGAATGCATGAACTAGGTATTTATAGATAGTCTGGTGACTGTTCGGACAGCCACCATACTAAAGGACACAACCCATAAACAAAAAATCGACCAGCCAGTGCACACCTTTAATAATTGTTCTTCATGAACAATCATAATTCAATTTCGGACTGAATTCGGACCGATCCAGTGGGTACCAAATTAATTTCGATTTTAGAAATTCTCGCTCATTAATTAAATGAATTTTATCTAAAAAGATAGGGCTTGGTCAACCCACAGCTGAGCCCGGCCCAACTGGGTCGTGGTCATGGTCGTGGCGAGGCGGGCGGGCGGCGCACGCATGCATGTGTGGTTGAACCGAACGCATGTAGGTACTCGCTCCGCTTATAAAGTTGTGGTACCCCTTGGGGCCCAATCTCATAGAACAAACTTGGCCTATATATACCCATGTTGAATTTCTTCCTCAACCAATATGGAATTAGTGTCACATCCCACATTGCACTTTATTTATTTTCATGTTTCAAGAGGGTCACTTTGGAACATATTTTCTCATTTATTTCTTACTCAATTTGAGCAAGTGAATATACTACATTATTCTCCTCACAGAGTAGAATATGATCCCACGAAATTTTATTCAAAATAACAATCAGGTCCCACTTTAATTTAGGCTCAAAGTCGACCAAAAACTCAGTTTTTACACTCAAAAAACTGTTTTGGTCCAACAATCACCCACATGAATGAAAAATTGGCTGTTAGTATGCAGATGATAATGCTGACACACTATAGAGAGTACATCTTTGGAAAGATCGTGCATCGAGAAAGGTTGCTTTTGGCCTTGAACCTTCCCTAATGAAGTCCATCGGACTTACCAGCTAAATAGTGAACGTGATGTCTTGAACTATTCAGCTGTTTGATAAATCAGATCGAATAAACTTCACACAGTCTCTTTCCTAACACAATTAATTCTCATGATTGTGTTCATTTTGACCTTGAACAACTCTTGGTTTTCATGAGTGCTTTAGAGAATTCAGCTTTTACAAATTATCATAGAAGCGGCCCCTTCACACTCATAAAGGTGACTCCTATTAAGAATATCCTGCAATATCCCACTTGGATTTACTAAGGTATAAGAGTCATTAAAAACATAGCTTACCCTGATAAACTCTACAGATAACACTAGGTTATCATAGGAATAGGTAGGAGATATTATCTCCTTAGTGCTTCTTTTGAATCACACATAATTCGGTAGTCCCTTTGAACCTAAATCTTGGGATCTCCAGTCAACTAGGTTTGGTTGCCATTAAGGTAACTCTTGTGTTATAGGCTTTAATCACATTCCCCTCGATGTGCAATTTACTTGCTCTCTTGTCAAACCTTTTGTAAGCGGATCCGCTAGATTATCCTTTGACTTTATATAATCAATGAAAATAATCTCATTTGAGAGCAATTGCCTAACAGTATTATGTGTATGACGTATATGTCTACACTTACCATTATACATGTCACTCTGTGCCATACCAATTGCAGATTGACTATCGTAATGTATACAAATTGCTGACATAGGTTTAGGCCATATTGAAATATCCTCTAGAAATTGGCGAAGCCACTCAGCTTCCTCTCCTGCTTTATCTAAAGCAATAAATTCAGATTCCACTGTGGATCTGACAATATACGTTTGCTTGGAGGATTTTCAAGATACAGCTGCACCACCAAGTGTAAAAACATAACCACTTGTGAATTTTGTATCCTTCATATCAGATATCCAGTTTGCATCACTATACCCTTCAAGTACAACTGGATATCTTGTATAGTGCAATCCAAACTTCAGGGTATATCTTAAGTATCTAAGAACCCTGATTATTGTCTTCCAATGGTCTACTCCCGGATTACTTGTATATCTACTTAATTTACTAACTGAGTATGCTATATCCGGTGTAGTGCAGTTTATAACATACATTAGACAGCCAATAATACCATAGTATTCCAATTGTGATATGCTTTGGCCAGTATTTTTAGACAAATGAATATTTATATCAACTGGTGTTCTAGCAATACTGATTTCATCTTTGTCGAACCTTTCAAATATTTTCTCAATATAATGTGATTGAGATAATATAAGTCCACCAGATATTCTAGAAATTTTAATTCCTAATATAACATTTGTAACACTCAAATCTTTCATGTCAAACTTACTGGACAACATTTTCTTGGTAGCTGTAATAATATTATTGTTACTACCTAAAATAAGCATATCATCCACATATAAACAAACAATGACATATCCATTATTTATGTCTTTAATATAGACACACTTATCACATTCATTAATTGTGAAACCATTTGACATCATTACCTTGTCAAATTTCTCATGTCATTGTTTTGGTGCTTGTTTTAAACCATAAAGTGATTTAACAAGTCTACACACTTTCTTTTCTTGTTCCAGAGAAACAAACCCTTCGGGTTATTCCATATAAATTTCCTCATTTAAGTCACCATTTAAGAAAGTTGTTTTGATATCCATTTGATGTATTTCAAGATTATGCAATGTTGCAATAGCTATGAGCATACAAATATATGTTATTCTCGTGACAGGAGAATATGTGTCAAAGTAATCAAGACCTTTCTTTTTTAGCTACAAGTCTAGCCTTGTATTTTTCAATTGATCCATCACTTTTTATTTTTCTCTTGAAAATCCATTTACACCCCAATGGTTTACTCCCTAGAGGAAGATCTACCAACTCTTAGATGTGATTTTGCATGATGGATTAAATTTCACTATTTACAGCTTCTTTCCATATAGGTGTTTTAGGAGTGGACATTGCTTCATTGAAGCTTTGAGGCTCATTTTTTAACAAATATGTTAGAAAATCTGGACCATAGGACTTGGAAGTCCTTGCCCTCTTACTGGGTCTAAGTACCTCTTTACTTTCTTCATTTATAGACTCATTGTCTATATTGTTAGTCGCAGTATCATGAGCTCTTTTAAGAGAACTCCCATCACATGATTTTTACTAGGAAAGATATTTTCAAAAAATGATGCATTTCTTGACTCAATGATTGTATTGACATGTATATCAGGAATATCATATTTATGCACAAGAAAACGATATGCACTGTTATTTATTGCATAACCAATAAATATAGAATCAATAGTCTTAGGTCCTATTTGAATTATTTTGGAAATAGGAACCATCACTTTAGTCAAACACCCCCACATTTTTAAATATTTGTAGGAAGGACTCCTTCCTTTCCATAATTCATAAGGGATTTTATCTAACTTCTTGTGGGATAGTTTATTTAAAATATAATTTGCTGAAAGCAAAACTTCCCCCCACAAGTTCTGAGGTAATCCCAAATTAATCAACATGGCATTCATCATCTCTTTTAAAGTTCTATTTTTATGTTCTGCAATTCCATATTGTTGAAGTGTATAAGGTGCAGAAGTTTGGTGAATAATATCATGTTCTTGATAGAATCAATCAAAAGGTGCGTCATATTCACCACCTCGATCACTTCTTATTGCCTTAATATTTTTTGTCAAGTTAATTCTCAGCCTCATTCTTATAGTGCATAAATTTTTTCTAATGCTTCATCTTTACTCCTTAGCAAATATACATAGCAATATCTTGTGTAACCATCAATAAATGTAACAAAGTATTTTTTTTCACCTCTAGTTTGAA